TGACACAGCATGGATGCCTTCCCTTGGAGGAACAGGAAATGAATAACATCAGGCAATTATAATCCAAGGTAGCTTAAAAAATAACTTTGAAGCAGTAAGTGAAAAGTTTTAACTTTCTACATAATGAAAAGGAGAAGAAGCAAGGTTAAAGCAATGAGCAAAGAGTTTCTGTTTAATAAATTACTTGTGTTAAAGAAGAGTCTAGAAAGAAGAGGCTAGTAGTAGGAGAATCCAGCAGAGTGACCTGAGCCTCAAGTAACAGCGTCCAAAACAACAGTGTCCATAAAGACATAGAGAAGAGGTGGATGTGGGAGATGGCATAGAAACTAAACATATGGCAACAGCCTGGAAATGCCCACTGGGGAAGACAGGGATCAGCGTGGCATTGCTCACAAGCTCTTTGCTTTGCTTTTTTTTTTTTTGGTACCAGGAATTGAACTCAGGACCTTGCACTTGCCAGGCAGGCTCTTGTGCCACTGAGCTATATCCCCAGCCCAAGCTCTTTGCTTTGGGAAGAGTGCTATTGGTCCTGTTATAAGGAGGGAAGATGTGTGAAGCAGCTGAGTTAAAGACTAACCACATCCCCAGGGAAATAGCTCAGTGGCATAAGCGCCTGCCTGCCAAGTGCAAGGTCCTGAGTTTGATTCCTGGTACCAAAAAAAAAAAAAAAGAAAAACCAACCACACATTTGGGGCTAGAACAACGCCAGCCCTCAAAACACAGAGCCCCAAAGGCAAGCCATATACACAAGTTGTTAAGATTAAAGCAAAGCCAGTCCAGCAAGTGTCCAGCCTTGGTGTTCCTCACTCTAAAAATGTTTCTGCTTTCAGTGTTCTCAACAAAACACTAAGACCTTACACTCTTGGCCCCATTGCGCGCTTCCCTCCTTTTTACTGTAGAAAAATAAAAACAAAGACCATGCTGGGTTGTCACTGCCTCTCCATCAGAGAGGTCAGGTCCCACCCAGTCCGAGCTTTCTTTTTAGGTGTCTAGTTTTTTCTTAATCTCCAGTAGCCCCCTCTCAAAACCCCACAGGCTGTACAGTCATGACCAGCAGAATGCTGAACCCCTGAGTCTTGGGTAAGGCTGTCTGGGAGCCACTTGCTCAACCCTAGTGCCTTTAAAAATTAATTAATTTATTGTCTTGAGGACTGAATTCTACCCCTGAGCTATAACCCCGGCCTCCTGCTATTTTCCCTACTTTCTGCCCCTACCTAGAGCTTCCCACCTGCCCTCAGTTCAGACTGAAATACTACTACTCGCAATTGTTTTAAATGCTGAGCAGAGCTGCTTATGATGATGAACTGTAAATAATTCTCAGTTAAGTCACTTTGGTTTATTTGTATTGAGGTGAGGGAGTTTCCCACACTGACCAGGTCTTTTTTTAGTCTATCCCCTGCTTCCCTCTCCTCATTCTGAAAGTTCCCGTTCCACTTTAAAAATGAAAGAACAGAAAATACTTAGAAGATAATGTGTGATCATAGATCTACACTTACAGGGTATTTACTTCTCTGGGAGGCTGAGGCAAGAAGCTCTTTTGAACCCAGAGCCAGCCTGGGCAATTTAATGACTCAGTGAGACCTGTCTCAAAAAAAAAAAAAGAGAAAAGAAAAGAAAAGAAAAGAAAAAGGGCTAGGGATATAACCCACTGTGAAGACCTGGACTCAATATCCAGTTACCCCCACACACATACAAAGAATCAATGGTAGGGGAATTGTCTTGGTTACGTTGCTGATACAAAATACCTGACACCCAAAATTAAGGAAAGAAAGATATATTCAGCTCACAGTTTGTGAAGGTTTCAGTCCATAATCAGCTGGCTCCAAGGCAGGGTGGCATGGCACAGGGGCAACACTTCACGGCTGCAGAAGACAGCAAAAGCAGAAAAAGCACAGGTTGCGGGGGGCTGTTTTCCTCATATCTCTATATCTATATATCTATACAGATATATACACTTTTTTTTTTTGGTCTTTTTTGAGATGGAGTCTCATTTTTGCAGTTCAGGTTGGCCTTGAGCTCACTTTGTAGCCCAGGCTGGTCTCAAACTCCCAAGGATCCTCCTGCCTCAGCCTCCTGAGTGCTGGGATTACAGGCGTGTGCCACCACGCCCGACTCCTCCCTTATATTGTAAACAGACAGATTACCAGCCCTAGGTTGGGTGCAGCACTCACACCATCTCCATGTCCTACTCTTACACAGCATAAGGATATTTACAAAGTGAGGACCCTGGCTCCCTAACTGTGGTTTAGTTAAACTTCTAAACTTCTCAAGTTGACACAATGTATCAACCATTACAGGAATCTTTATATGCAAAACAAAAGTACTACAAAATAATTCACATCGGGTAATCAGGGAAGAATGACAAAGTGATATATGATTCTTCATTTTTTATTTCATATATATTTATTGCAGTACTGAGGACTGGACTCAGCATTTCATGCATGCTGGACAAGTGCTCTGCCAATGAGCTACATCCCCTTGATTGGTGTTTTTGTTTTAGTTATGTGCAGGGTGGCAGGTATGGGGGCTCAGCTGAATCAATAATACTAAATTTGTTCTAAGACCTAAGTGCAGTATATACTACTTGAAGAAGTTAGCCTTGTACAAGTTAAATGACTCTAAAAACATTACATTCTTTTGTACTGATAGTGTGTGTTCATATGACACTGCTGTGTTTCTTGTTTTGTTTTGTTTTCTGTTTTTTTGAACACGTTGTAGTGCAGGCTGGCTTTGAACTTCATGTGTAGCCCAGGCTGGCCTCAAACTCACAGCGATCCTCCTGCCTCAGCCTCCTGAGTGCTGGGACTACAGGTGTGCACCACACCTGGCATGTTAAATGCAGTCTGGGATACTATATGTGTATTGACTAGTTTCTCACAATAGCCCTGTAAGGTAAGTACTATCTATACACATCATTATCTTACAAATGATGAACTGAGACACAAAAAGATTAAGTGCTTTGCCAAAGGTCAAACGGTTAGTAAGTATCATACCCAGGTTTTGAATCTAAGCAGTCTAGATTGGGTTCCTTTCCTTAACCACTACACTATACCTTATATTCATTATGCATGAATTAGCAGAGAAACCAAACCATTCTCACCAAATTGAAATTCTCACAGATAATAAAACAATAAACAAAATTCTGATTTTATTATCATTTTGGCCCTTGTGAGTAATTTTTGTAAACAGTTTGACAATTAAAACAGAAGCAGTATTTTATTTTAATTATGTATTTATGTATTAATTTACTTTGAGAAAGTATGTTGTTCAGGCTGGCCTTAAACTCCTGGATTCAAGCAATCCTCCTACTTGAGTGTTCCCAGTAGCAGGGACTACAGGCATGTACTGCATGACCAGTGAAAAAAATATTTTAAGTACAGGAAAACTTGATCCAATTGAAAATTCGTATTCTATGCAATAGTAAAGCATAGGGTTTATTTTCCAACTTTGGGGGTTACTTCTGCACGCACCTGAATAGCAATGGAATAGTTTCATGGTGCTCTTATCACAGAGAATTGTCTGTCAGCCGACTGTTCATCTAAAGTCAGCCTGACTCTGTGAAAGACATGAGAAGGAGACCTACATCTGCCTCATCCCAACACAGTCTTCCCGCTGGTTGTTTTGTTCCTTTTTTGCAATGGTTCTCAACTTCTCAAATTTTAAGCCAAATTTCAAGTGGTAACTCCCACAACCAATACTTTTAATAAAGCAAGTATGGAAGCCAAAGGAATAGAATAACAGTTATCAAGTTCTTTGAGAGTTAAAGACTGGATCAATTTTAAGATACAGAAATGCGCCGTGGGGGTGTCTGGCAGTGTGTATATAAATCACTTATCTTTTGTCTAACACATTCTCTTTAAGTAACATAAGCTCAAAAAAATAAATAACATCAACTAACGCTGAACAAGTTCTGGCTCAGACATAGGGTTAAAGCAAGCTATCTATCTATCTATCTATCTATCTATCTATCTATGTATATTTCCCCTTTTATCATGAAAAGAAGTCCTGCTGGGTGTGGCAGCGCATGCCTATAATCCCAGCACTCGGGAGGCTGAGGCAGGAGGATCTCCAGAGTTCCAGGCCAGCCTGCACTACATAGTGAGACCCTATTTTAAAAAAAAGAAAAAGTCTGGAGTGCGCAGTAAGTATAACAGGCCAGTACGAAGATTAACTTTACCGTCAAGCACTGTAAGGGAAATGAATACATGTCAGATAGCAGGTAAAGGAATTCAAGAGAAATTCATGCGAGTATGAGGAATGGGGCTACAATTTCTTCACAATGAGACTGTAGAGTGTACACAACCCACCTAGTATAATTTAAAATCAAGACAATTTCAAAACATTAAAATCAAATAATAAAACATTTTACTATCTTCTTGTGAATTTTGTAGACTTTTAATTAATTTTTACTCTAGGCCTGCTGGTGACAAGCGCGTTTAAAGGGAACCTCAGTTGGAAGACAGAAAAATACAAGGCTAGCACACCCATTATCCCAGCATTTAGGAAGCTGAGACAGGAGTATTGATGAGAGTTCAAAATCAGCCAGAGGCAGAGGGAGAGAAGGAGGAAGCGGGGGAGGAGAGGAGGGGAGGGGACGGAGAAGGGGAAGGAGGAGGGAGAGAAGGAGAGAGACAGGGTTTCTCAAGTCCCAGCTGTTTTTGCTATTGAGCCGCGCACGTGGTGGGGACTCAGCGCTGAACTTGACAGGTGGAGGTGGGACGCAGAAGGCCGGACATCGGCCAACCCCCAAACGCTGCAGCGGGGGGAGCCGAATATGGGAGCGGGTAGACTACAGCGGATTCCGATTTAGGAGGCCGAACAGCCGTGATGCGCCCGACCGACCGGAAAGAAGACCTGAGTCGGCCGCAGACGGCGAGCGAGGTGCGCAGCCCGGCTCCCAGGCGGCGGGTGGCGGGGCGGGGCGGGGCGGGGCCGCCGGGAGACCCGCCCCCGAGTAGCGGAGGCGACTGGGCGGGCGGAGACGCTCTGTCCCACGCTTGCCCAGTGCTCGGTGGTTTAAAGATGGCGGCGGCAGAGGCGGTGTTGGGGGCGCGGAGCCGCCGGAGGGGGAGGGCAAAGGAGACTCTGTGAGTCGCCCAGAGCGAGCGCGGCGGCTGCGTGAGAGGATCCTGGTGCGGAGCTGCCGGTGGCCGGGCCCCGGGCCGGGGCAGGGAAGGACAGACCTGGGCCGCGCCGGGAGCCAGAGGCCGGAGCGGAGGAGGAATGTGACCGGGGGTCGGTGGGGGCGCGGGAGTACGCGAGCGCAGGGATGGGGCAGCAGGTGGGCCGCGTCGGGGAGCCTCCGGGGCTCCAGCAGCCTCAGCCGCGCGGGATCCGGGGCAGCAGTGCAGCCAGGCCCTCCGGTCGCAGGCGGGATCCGGCGGGGCGCACCACCGAGACCGGCTTTAATATCTTTACCCAGCACGGTGAGTGTGTCCGGGAGCCGGCGTGACCGCCTGGGGGAGGCCGGGGGTGCGGTCGGGGCGGGGTGGGAGGCGGACAGGCGGCCCTGGGGTCGCGGGGTGGAGGGGTGCCTGAGAGCGTGGGCGGAATCTGCTGCCATCTGGGCCGGTCGCGGCAGGCAAGTCACACCCCTCCCCCTCCCGTGTCCAGCCTGGCTGGCGGCTCCTGGGAGCGGTGGAGAGAGCAGTGGTCTTAGGGACCGCGGGTGGACTGTCCTCTCCCCTGGGACGGGACTGTCCTGCGGGAGGTCAGTGGATGTTATCCCCAGGGGAGGGAAGGATGAAGGGAGGTATGAACGCAGCCTGGGAGGTGGGAAGATAAACCGGTTGTTAGCGAAGGGAACAGGAGTTGTGCCCCAAGGGGCTGGCAGATAGAAACTGAATCTCAGGAGACTGTGGCATATAAAGTGCGTGTGTATGTCAGGCACTGAATGTCAGAGCGGTGAATTGTGGACGGTGCGCTGGCACAGCCTTCTGTAGGAAAGAGAAGGGCCGTATGTCATCACATTTGACATTTTTTTAAAAAATTAGAAATGAAGGACTTTCTCAAACCATCGTGTTCCACGCCTTTGAGTAGGACGCACCATTCTGAGATGGCTGGCGGGGCTGCTGGGTTGGTAGGCATGTTAGGGCTTCAGTGTGCATAGGACCAAGATTGTTTTGTATGGTGTTTGTGTGTGTCTGTTTGTATGCAGATACATACATGTATATATCCTCTGTATAGTCTGGAGTCTGTTTGGTGTCATCTATGTTTTTAGAAGAGTTCTTTCCAAACGCTTATGTCATACACTCTTATTAGTAAAAAAATGGGTGTATACTGTAATAATTTAGTATCTTTATTATGTACATGTGCTGCAGTACTAATATGTAATTTATGAACACAGAAATAGAATATAAGGAATGACATAGCTGGCCATGATAGCACATATTTGTAATCCCAGCACTCTAGGAGGCTGAGGCAGGAGGATTGCAAGTCTGAGACCATCCAGGTCAATTTAGCAACTTGGTAAAACCCTTTCTCAAAATAAAAAATAAAAAAGGGCTGGGGATGTAGCTCTGTGTGAAGGCCCTGGGTTCAGTACTCCCAATACAACAATGAATGAATGAGTGAGTGAGTGAATGAATGAATGGGCTGGGGATGTAGCTCAGTGTGAAGACCCTGGGTTCAGTCCCCAGTTACTAGTCCCCACCCAAGGTGAAAAAATAAGTGTAAAGCAGGGGTAGAGTGCATGGAGGCGCGGGCTTTAATTCCCAGTGTGCGTACACACACACACACACACACACACACACACAAAATAGAAAAATTTTAAAAATTGACTATATGAGTTCTAATATTGTTTTCCTACAACCCAGTTCACTTTTGAGATCACCTTTGTAGTAGAAAAGGAGGAAAACCAAAATTGACCATGAGATGAAAATACCCTGGGACCCAAGAAGGACTGGAGATGGAGATGTGACTTGTTTTTGGTTTTTCTCCGGTACCAGGAACCGAACTCAGGACCCTGCGCTTGCCAGGCAGGCGCTGTGCCACTGAGCTAAATCTCCAGCCCCGACTTCTGTATCTGGATAATTGAAATTGTATTAAAAATAGCAAACTGGAGTTCTATTGAAGATGCGTAAAGAAATAATAAAGGAAAAACAGGCAGAGTGAATATCTAACCTAGGAGTACTCTGCCACTGAGCTACATCCTAAGGCCTTTTTATTTTGAGACAGAGTCTTGCTAATTTTCCCAGGGTAGCCTCAAAGTTGCAATTATTCTGCCTCTGCCTCAGCCTCCCAAGTAGCTGGGCTTATAGGCACACACCACCAAACCAGGCTCAGAGTGTTCTACCCAATTTAGGAAAGAGGAAGAAGAAAAAGTGTGAACTATTTATTAGAAATGGAGGAGGAAGTAATGGTAGATGGTAGCATTCAAAGAGACAAGCCCAAGGATCTGTGGCTACTAGGTGAGTTGTACCATTCTGTATTTGGATTTGTGAGTAAGCTGAGTTACTTCTTAGTGGAAGAAATACAGATGATTTGGGGCTATCCAGGCTTTATGTGTCTACTATTAAAGATGTACTCAGGGACCTCAAAGGTATATGAATATTATGTGTTAGTTTTTTTTTTTTTTTCTTTTTTTTGAAACAGGGTCAGCCCAGGCTGACCTTGAAGTGTCGGAGATCCTCCAGCCTCAGCCTCCTGAGTCCTGGCATTACAGGCATGTACCACCACACCTGGCCTGTGTGTTAGTCTTTGTTGGAATTATTTCCTTAAATATAGGAGGAAAGAATAGATTAGTAGTTTTTAGGGAAGAGGTCATCGAAATTGCTTTGACTTGTGGGAATTGTTATGGTTACTATGCATTAAACTTGGCCCACTGAACGAAAATGATCCTCTTCCTCTAGTATCTTACTCAGATATAAAATATTCAGAGAAGGAAGATGTCGCGAAGAACACAGTAGGAAGATTTTGAAGGGTGGACAGGATTTGGATCTGTGGCGCTTGTTGATGGGCTAGTGAAGTAGCCTGCCCTCTGAGGGAAAAAATCCTGGAGCAAACATTAGAAGAGTCAAGATGTGGTCCGGGTTCTCCCTGACTGGAATAGGTAACTTCAGAATCTCACTGTAGGTACTTCACCAAGTCGTGGAACATTGTTCTCAACCTTTAGCACAAAGACCTTCTTAAAACAGATTGCTGGGTCCCACCTCAAGAGTTTCTGACTTGAGTCTGAGGAGGGGCTTGAGCATTTGCATTTTTGACAGATTTCCAGGGCTTGCTTCTGCTGCTGGCTTGGGGCCACCCTGTACTAGGAAAGCCACTTGTTGTGAGGTGAAGAAGGGTAATGGATCACAGGTGATTCAGAGATTGTCCGGAAACAGCGTATTGTTTCGCTTCCATTTCAGACCAGTGCAAATGTCTCCGTGTTCCAAGTCTGGCATCCTCACACAAGTGAGCACTGCCTTAAAGACTATCTTTTTGGTATTTTATCTTTAGAAGTCTGTATGTTGAGGGCCTGTGAAGAAGAGATGTACTTCTGAAAAAAATCTGAGGGTTATTAGGGAAAAGGGAAGGTAAGGAACAGAATTATGTTAGAGTAAGATGGGTTTCAGTTCCTAGAAGAATTGGGTGGTGAAATAATTGTCATCTTTAAAATGCTGTGCACCTGGCATGTTCTACAGCACTTTATATCATTTGTTTCTCTATTTATACCTCATAAAACCCTATTTACCCAAACTGAAAAAAATTAAAGACCAAAGAAATTGGGGTATCTATTTGGTTTTTCTCTGGTACCGGGAACCGAACTCACGACCTTGCGCTTGCCAGGCAGGCGCTTTGCTGCTGAGCTAAATCCCCAGCCCTGGGGTATCTATTTGTGATTCTGTAGTTGTGGTATGATGGTGCTTCCTTGCCTTTGGAGTATGTACTTGTGCATGTTTTTATAAATATATAGATATATGTATTTGCATATGTACACACAAGAGTTTTACCTCGTCTCTTGAGACCAGTGAGATTTTCAGAATTGTGAGTGGCTAGTACTTTGACTAAAGTACTTACTATTTCTGATAGTAAAGGGAGTGCTGCTTGAAAATGGAGTTTTGCACCTAAAAATGGAAATGCAGTCCAGGTGTTGTGGTACATATCTGTAATCCCAGCACTCAGGAGGCTGAAGCAGGAGGGTTGCCACAAATTTGAGGCCAGCCTAAACTGTGTAGCAAGACCCTGTCTCAAAAAACCAAAAAAAAAACCCAAAAAATTGGGCTTTTTTCTGTGCTGTAAATGTGCTGAGTTTGCAGTGGTGGTGGTGGTGCCAGCTCATCCATAGTAAACTCTGCCAGTATTGGCTTCAGATCCAGCAGAACACAAAGCTCAGTAGGCCCAGGCCATTTGTATTCCCTGTTTTGCTGTCCAGAGAGAGGAAGGATTTAGAAACCTTTCACTTGATGTGGTGAAGGTCAGAGGAAATGTGTGTATGCATGTGTATGTGCTTGTGCAAGTGTGTGTATGTGTATATGTATATTATGATACAGGTTTGTTAGGGTGTTCTCCTGTATGCTAATCCCAGCAAATTAAAGTGACAATACTGAGTTAGGGCCACTTAGGACTTTCTAGTTCTAGCATTCCAGGTATTTACTGGGAAATATTTTCTTAAAAATAAAGTACTGTTAGTACTAACAGTACTAACAGGTGCAGTTGGTATGAACCATCTATTCTTTATAGAAAAGGAAGGTTGAAGGGCCGGGGACAGCATCTGCCTGGTAAGCCTGAGGTTGTGAGTTCGGTTCCCGGTAACAAAAAGAAAAAAAAGAAAAGAAAAGAAAAAGGAGGTTGATACATGAAGGTTTTTGAAATTTGCATTTTTAATTGCATAGTAAGATACAAAGATGTCTCAATGTAAAAAAAAGATTAACAGAGAAGCATATAGTGTAGTTGTGAAAGTCATATCTTTGACATATCTGGCCTCAGTACTAGAGAAAACTACTCTTTGTAGTTTGAGTGTTTTGCAGAACATTTATGTGTTTACAAATATTGGGTATATCTTACCATATCATACATATTCATACTGTGTGGCTTTTCTCTGCTCCCCCCCATTTTTTTGCATATAAGATGTTTGGTGCTGTATGTGGTGACACATACCTGTAATCCCAGTACTTGGAGACTGAGGCAGGAGGATGGCCATCAGTCTGGACTACGTGGCAAGACCCTGTCTCAAAAAACCAAAAAAATAAAATGTGTATAAGAACTTTCTATGTATGTATAAATTTTTCATTCTTTTTGAAAGCTTTATAGTGTTTCATGCTCTACCTATATAACCACTTCTTTTTTTTGTTTTTGTTTTTGTTTTTTTTTTGAGACAGGGTCTCAGTGTGTAAATTCAGGCTGGTCTTGAACATCCTGTGTAGCCCAGGGTTGCTCAAATTTGAAGCGATCCTCCTGCTTCAGCCTCCCAAGTGCTGTGATTAGAGGTGTGCACCACCACACC